GGATAAGAACAGTGCCTGGCAGACAGTATGTAGCCATATTGATGTGTAGTGGAAAGGGTACGTGACTCATGTTCTCTAGGTCTTTCCATTGTATTATGAAAATGAAAGGTAAGAGTCAGAGATATGATTTGATTCTTGTTGGAAAGCATGTGTGTGCAGAATGGCCTGAGCAGGAACTGGGGAGAGAGTAGGCTGGAACCACCATTATGGTCAACATGAGCTATATGGTAGCAGTTTGTAGACAGTGGGTTACTTTTGGACATGGCTGGGCTCAGTAATGCAGTGACTGCACTTGGGCTTGTGGAGAAGAGGCAGGTCAAACATTCCTGGGCCTTTCTAGCTCCATGACCACATGGTGATGCTGTTTTCTGAAATCAGTTGTTCCATGCATTTTTTGAGACATTCTCTGACTGGTTTGGAAACCCAATGGCAGTTATTGCAAAACTTAGTGATTTAATAACATATGTAAGTTGATGAAGAAGTTTCTGTTGTAATAAAATTACACTTTATTTTATCCAGCACTGTTTAAGTCAATTTTTAAAAAGAAATTAATAATTTGACTTTTGAAAAGTAAACACACTAATATATTCTTGAGTATGTTTTTCTTTTGCAGTCTGTATTACATACCTGTTTTGGTGTTGAAGCAAATGCACGTGTTTTGTGTGAAGTAAAAGTAAAATCAGTTTTCACTTGATATACCTTTGTCCCTACTCTGCCCTACAGCCCCACTCTTATCCTAATCATCACTGAGGAAACAAACATGACAGTAGGCCTATGTCTTAGTTAGGGTTTCTATTGCTGTTGAAGAGACACCATGACTATGGCAACTCTTATAATGGAAAATACTTAATTGTGGTAGCTCATTTACAGTTCACAGGTTGAGTCCATTATCATCATGGTAGGACAAGCAGGCAGTCATGGTGCTGGAGAAGTGGCTGAGTGTCCTCATCTTGCATTGCAGGCAAAAGGAAGTGAACTGAGACACTGGGTGTAGCTTGAGTATATATGAGACCTCAAAGCCTACCTTCACAGTGACACACTTCCTCCAACAAAGCCACAACCACTCCAACAAAGCCACACTTCCTAATAGTGCCACTACCAATAAGCTTATGGGAGCCAATTACATTCAAATTACCACAGCTTGTTATTTCTGGACAATAACTCAGTCGAATATTTTTAGTAGTCAACCGACATCGTTCTAACCTATCTTAATTTTTCTAAGAAAAGCATGGCAACGGAAAAAACAGTTATTATGTTTTTATGTATATATCATAGTTATTATGCGTTGGATACCATGACTGTTACATCAATTCTTTGGACTTATAAAATGATGTTTTTACATTGTTAGGAACTCATGAGGCTTTTTCATATGGAAATCACATTTTTTGTCTCTCTAGAGACCCAATTGCTGGGGAGGATTGACTGCTCAAGTTTTCTTTGTCTGGTCTAATTAACTAAGGCTACCAGCCATTTGTGAGTTAGGATGGGTACTGTGCCCCAGCCATGTTTTTTTGTTTCTCAGTTACACACCTGTCCACTGGAAATTGCCTTGTTCCTTTCAATAGCAATTCTTTCTCCTGGGCTGGTTACACATTTCCTCCAGGTTAACCAGCTTATAATGTAAAAGTACACTATGTGTCTTTAAAATAAAAGGAAGGGTGTGTTGATTTTTCTTACCTAGCCACAAATTCTCATTGGGAGATTTAGGAGAAAGTCTATGAAGCCCTCATCACATGTTTTCAGTGTGTCCACTTTGCAACTTACTGTGATATTTGCATCTATTGTTATCTATCTTATTTACTCTTGTTAGCAAATTGTATTACAGTTTGTGACTGTTTCATCAAAAATACTGATTTTATGGGATTCTAGGTATTGCCTAGTCTTTTACTAATTTGAATTATGGTGTCATGAACACATTGTACATAGTTTTGCATGGGAATTCACTTTGAGTTTTCTTGGGCATGAACCTGCCCTAGACCTGAGCAGATTATGTGTTTAGTTAAGTAGACAAGGCTAAGCAATTTTCCCTAGTTATTATTTTATTATATTCCCACTAGCAGCATGTGACATGTACACTACTCTATATCCTTGTCAGCACTTAGAACTTTGCAACCTTTTTTGGTCACATGGATATGTGTTATTATGACGGTTTTTTAAACATATTTTTTATTATTGATTCTTTGGGAATTTATCATCTAACCCAATCCCACTCATTTCCCAGTCCTTCCATGTCTGTCTTCCACCCTTGTAACCTCCCCGATAAAGAAAACAAAAAATTAAAATTAAATTTGCAAAACAAAAAACATCTGGCCAAATCCTCTGAGCAAAGACCTGCTCCTCTATTAACTGCAGAGCTCTCGCACACCTGTCACGGCTGTATCATCTCTAGTACCACCATGTGTGTACCATTTTGCTACTCCTTTTTTCCCACTTGTCCATCACATATTCCTTCATCGTAGTGCCATTGGGAGCTACAATGTGTCACACGGTATACCTTTTTTCTCAAACAACTTTGCTTGCAAATGTTCATTGCAATGAGTCCTTGGTCTGGTTCAAGGCCTCTGGCTCCTGCAACACCATCAATACTGGACCATCACTGTGACTCCTCTCTACTATCTTGCTGTTGCCAGCATATGATTCTAACAACTCTCCAGAACCTTGTGGCAGCCGGGGAGGGGCAGGGCCAGCTCTGGGTGGGTAGGGGTTTTTTTCAGAGAGGAGTGGGGCCAGTTCCCCCTCACCCACACCATACCAATGCCAATGTGTGGCAGTTGGTGAGAGGTGGGGCCAGCTCTCCAGGTACTGGCAAGGGGTATGGCCAGGTCATCACCACCCTTGGACATCAACACGGGTTTAGGTGGCAGTCCAGACCACAGGCATCCACATGACTTTTTATAGTAATACGGGCCACAGACAATACAGATCATGGAAATACTCATGGCCCTTGGTGGTAACATAGGCAATGGACATCAACACACACCCCAACTGTGGCAGAGCCATTAACCAGGCATGGCCCTCGGTGGCAGCACAGGTTGGACATCACGTGCATCAGTCTGTTCCTCATGGCTCCAGTTCTGCCTCTCTCCATAACACATGAAACCTCAAATGTTCCCTTAAACAAACAAATTTTTTTCTTTTTTTTTTAGTTTTACGAGACAGGGTTTCTCTGTGTAGCTTTGGAGCCTATCCTGGCACTTGCTCTGGAGACCAGGTTGGCCTCGCACTCACAGCGATCCGCCTGCCTCTGCCTCCCGAGTGCTGGGATTAAACGCGTGTGCCACCAACGTCCAGCAACAAATTGATTTCTTATAGAACATCTGTACTTAAAGTTAAGTATGGAAACATGTCACTCTGAACTATCAAATGGAAAACAGAGCCAGAAAAAAAACTACTCCTCCCCCCAGAAAACTTCCAAGACTGACACCACACAGGGCTTATCCTCCCCTCCCCTCTTCGTAAGTGAAATATACTCAGGAGCAGGTTGGGGCTTGAAAGCTAGCACCATGGGAAGTATGGGTCAAAAGCTTCCATGGTTTCCCGAGGTTTATTTTGACGGTACAATTTTCAATTATAATTTGGGCCAGAGGTGACGTTGTACCACACATGCGTGGATGGCAGTCATTTTGAATCGTTTTTATGGGAATCCACTACTTTATAAGCAGATCAAAAGAGGGAGAAAAGGAATTGTGAGACGTGTAGATATGGGGTTGGACTGATGATACCTGGCACAGTGTAAACTCCTAGTGCCCAGAAATAAATTGATGATATAGCCGAAGGAAGTGTGTGTGTGTGTGTGCCTCCACCCAGTCTTGTATAATACACAATACACAAAGAGAATCAAATTAAGTTGGTACTTAATTTTTTATTACTGGTTTTGAGAAGTATTTTTGTTTCTGTTCACAAAAAGTATACCTTTTTAGAGTTAAAAACTAGCATTTTGAAAATAGTCAGGCGCCATCTGGTGATCAAAATACGAGTTGCAAGACTCGAGAGGGAGTTTGTCAATTGGCAAGGTTGGGTCAACAGAGGGAGGTGTAGGGTGGGGGGGCACACACTCATGCACTCAGGGAGATCAGTGCCCTTAGGATTCTGGCATATGCGGATGGTTAGAGAGTATTATGCAAAGCAACTGAGTGTTGGCATGTATGTAGCTGTCAAAGAACCCATAGATTAATATGCAGACGGCCACTTTTCATTCTGGAAAGTATTTCTGGGGCTTCTCGAGTTAGGTCATCTGGGACTGCTTTGATATGAGTCGCTATGTCATGTGACCATTCTTGTGCATGATTTTTCATGCACATATGCTCGAGATGGTCACCTTAGTAATTGAAACTGCGTGCTCACAATGTGCCTTCCATTTCTGCTCCTGCATGGTGAGGGTAAGTGATCAGGTGGCCATTGCAATGGAAAGAGTCCATTCCTCACAGCTGTTAAGATGAGTAGCTTCTCTTGCCACACAGCTCTACAAGAGGAGGCAGCAGAGGAGATCAAGAAAAAGCAGGGGGCAAACACGGTAGGAGCCTTCATTATTCCTCCCATGCAAAGTGACAAATGGGCTTAGAATCCAGCACTCTGAAGAATTTCAGAAAGCTCTGGAATCTGCAGACTTCCCTGAGGTATGTGGTAGCAGGCCCCACTATGTTTACAGTGGAAAAATTCCCACTGGTAGTGTAAAAGCCTGGTAGAGAAGCTGTGAATTTGTGCATACAGGGCCTCTGTGTTGGTTTGTGCAATAGGAAAGGAGGTCCTGGGTCAGTTTTCTTATCTGAATTAGCTGAGCCCAGCACAAGCCTTTCTGGAATGAAACTGCCTGTCTTTTCTCTAGATACTCAGACACCCTGCATTTTCCATGGAGAGTCACCATCACCCATTCCATAAGAACATTCTGGCTCTAGTGTAGAGTGTCAGCGCACAGTTCTTCCATGCTTTTCTTCTGTCTGGGCCCTTCAGTTGGCTTGATGCTTCTGATCACACTGCTGAAGGCAGATCTCCTTTATTCAATTGTCTACTGAGTCAAACACTAATCTTTTCCAGGAAAATCTTCACAGACATCCCCAGAAACAATGGATTACCTTGATTCAATCAGTTAACACATAAAATCAACAGTTTCCATTAACGATGGCAATGTTTTGTCTGTATTGTTAATCTCATCTACTAGTTTTGCATGGGTCTCCCATTGCAATACTTCTCTTAGTTTTTTTTTTTCTTGAGAGTCCTAGAGTGGTCAGATGTAACGTATAAATACTTCATTTCCAGTAGAATCCAGATTTCAGCTAAGCAAAATAATACAACACACTGCAACCAATAACAAGAATTGTTTTGTAGAAGTGATATTGTAGCGAGTTGAGTTAAATATGGCAATCATAAACACAACAGGCTATGTGGAGTAGAAGCAGGGTGTTCTAAAGAATAGTGCTGCCTGCTGCACTCCCTGTGGACGCCAGCCCTGATGGCGTTGTATAGCAATTCCTCCACAGCTCATTAAGACCCAGGAATTTCTAAACGGGGCTTGTTAAGACTCAGGAAATTCTAAAGTCAGGCTCCTTGAGACTCAAAAGTAAACAATTCAGCAGTCTCTGGAAGTCTTTAAAACTGACCAGATGCACAAGGCACTCCCCTCACCAAGATTATATAAGCAAGTTGTTCACTGAGCTTCAGGTTTTCAGATTTTGTTGCCATTGCCCATGTTTGGATGGACTTTCAGGGACACAGCTGCCCCTCAGTGGTTCTTCCGTCTATAAGTAACTCCTCACCCACACTCCTGAAAGTAAATAATAAATCCATTGTTTCATCAAGTTGGGCTTTGGTGATGTCTTTTACTTTGGTCTATCATTGGTTCCCTATCTGGGGTAAGTTCTCCCTAGGAATTGTTCGTGTCTCCCTAGGAATAGTATCACACAAGTGTTCACCTATGAGAGGCGGGTCTCTGGATACTTAGGATGATTGGAATCCCCTACTGACAGATGCCACATGGAGCACACAACACCTATCTGTACCTGATCAATGTACAGAAGAATCCTGAGTGATATTCAGTAGCTATTGCTTTGTTGAACACAAGTGGATATTAGAAATTATCTATCTTTTTACTATAATGTGTTACTATAGGATATTTTTATAGTTCTTTACTTCAGGAAGGTTGGTTATGGCATTGCTATAATTTTGACTATAGCTAGGGTGTTAGTGTATATGGTGGGGTGTAGATTTTTCAAACATTTACTCAATTGCTTATTAAAGTGAAAATCTCACCTTAGTACCTGTGGTTGAAAGGAGAGGACCTGGGCAATTTCTTCTTTCATACTCTCCAGCAACATAAGTTGTTATTTTCATGGTGAAGAGATGAATGTATAGTGACACTGGATGTGTGTTGGTGACAAATGCATCATCCCATGGAATGGGAAGAAAAGAATTCCTCGGGATCAACCAATGCACTTTTGAAATGATTGTGCTTCTCTCTATTACCCCAGGCCTGCCACTCTGAAACAACAGTGAAGCTCTGCTGCTCCCAAATCAATTAATTTTGTGATTGTGGACAGTCTCTTAGTTCCTTTGCAACAGATGGAAAACTGTGTGTCTTCCTTCCCTTAGAGGGATAGCTCACCTAAAAGATTACCAGGAGATATCCTTGGGTCTCTGTGTACTGATATTACTCCTCTAAAATCACATTTAAAGGCAGAAATCTCCCTGAGAGTGGGAAATTTCTGTGGTCACAACTCTCAATTGTCTGCATCCTGCCCTACTCTTTTCTAGTGAGTATGGTTTTTTGGGAGGCCTGAATATGTCATGCTTTCAGGGAAATGAGAAATCATGGAAGGGTGGGATGGATAGTTTTGCTTCTTTTTTGATTTTTCGAGACAGGGTTTCTCTGTAGCTTTGGAGCTTATCCTGGCACTCGCTCTGGAGAACAGGATGGCCTCGAACTCACAGCAATCCGCCTGCCTCTGCCTCCCGAGTGCTGGGATTAAAGGCATGGGCCACCAACGCCCGGCTAGTTTTGCTTCTTAAATGGCATTTCTGACTCATACAATTTATATATGCTTGTATCAGTAGATACTACAAAACAAGATTTAAGAACTATTGTTCTAGTCTGTATTTCCAGGCAAGAATTGCACTATTTCACAAGCTTGCCAACACTTGGTGCCATTTATCTAGTCCATCTATTTGATGTTTAGATGTTTTAGTATCTCAAGTTTTTACAGAAGAGGGAATTGTGTTTTTTGTACCCCAGGCTGATCTTGAATTTTAGTTAGTTGAGGATGGTGTTGAATTCCAGATTCTTCTGCCGCCACAGCCTAAGTGCTAGGGTTACAGGCATGCACCAGACAGTCTGGTTTTATGTAGTGCTGAGGATTGAATCCAGGGTTTCACAGATGCAAGGCAAGTACTCTACCAACTGAACTACAACTCCAGCCCTTGTTTTGTTCGAGAGGGGGTTTAAGGATGACCTTGGATTTCTAATCATCCTGGATCAGCCTCCCAAGTGCTGAGATTAAAGACGTGTACCACTGAACTCAGCTGCCATTAGTTTTAATAGGTAAATCTATAAAGTGTTGTGTATCTTTTAAGTATAAGTATGTGTGTCCTCTCCCCCCTGTATTAGTCAATGTTCTCAAAGGAATCATATCTAAAGAGGACCATATAGATATACTGACTTACACAATCATTAGATAGTCGTGCTATAAATAAAAGATAACCTATAGAATAGTTACAGTTTAATCTCAAGGGCAAAGAAATGGGAGAGCCAATGCTAGAATTTTCACTTGAAGTATCACATTTTTTTCATTCAGTTCTGAAGCTGTAAAAGGAGATAGCTCAGTTCAAGCAGTTAATTTAGCATGTTAAATTTAGTCAGGCCATTAGTTGTTTAGGTGAGGTGAATCTGAGAAGGCAAGCTATTTTGCTCAGTTCACAAATTCAAGTTTAATTTCACTTTCAGACATCCTCAAAGACACACCCAAAATAATGTTTTATTAAAGGTCTTTAATTTTGCAAACTCCACAAGAGTTTGTCTTATGTCCTATGGAGTTTCATAATTTCACCCCTATTATACCATATATTATTTGGGTCACTTCTACACCTTTTAACTTTATATTGAATTTAGAGACGACACTAAACTCAGAGTTTGGCAAATGTTGTGATGTTTATTCCTGCAACCACATTAAGAACTCACTATTCTAGTTGTCTTTCTTCTGGTGATGTTAAAGCTGATCACCTGGTTCAAGTGTTATTAACTGATCAAGTCATCATAAAATGTCTAATCTTTATTACACACCAAAGAAGTTTTTGCATTCAAGGAAGAATGTTGGGTATATCTTCATTTGTAAAGGGGTGATATTGTAATTTTCTAAGCATTTATGTATTCATTATTTAGGATTTTTCTATTACAAAAACTTCTCATCGACTCAATAGTTAAGAGCACGTGACTGTTCTTCCAAAGGCTCTTAGTTCAATTCCCAGCAACCAACTGGTGGCTGACAACCATCTATAAATAGAATCAGATTACTTCTTCTGATGTACATGAAGACAGAGCACTCATTTATAAAATAAATGAATAAATAAATTAATCTTTAGAAAAGAAAAAAAACTTCTCATTAACCCTGGTAAACACTGGTATGCAAATAAGGTTCATGTAAATACTTAATTCTTTTGCAATAGTTCTCCTTTTCAAAAAAAAACTTGCTGTTATTCTAGGACCCTGTGAAGTTGACCATACATCTTATTTGTTTGGCTTCCATTTAAGTTTCTTTAAACTTTAGACACTGAATATATGAACACATGAAATATGATGCATGTGATAGGAAAATGAAAATTTAATTTCGTAGGAATTCAATCTTAAATTTTAGTGGCTGTGTTTAGCTAGTTCCACAGTATTACATAGCAGCTGCTCTAGATATTTTTCCATATCTTAATTTCTCCACTTAATAGTATACACTGAAGGAAACTTATACAGTAGAGAAAGGGGATCCTGCTTTATTATACCTGCAGTATAATATAGGATGTAGATATACCTTGCATTATTCAGTGACTCCCCCATGGGTGAAAATGTATATTATTTTTAGTCTTCTTCTATTATTATTTATTTTTTTCAAGGAGAGACCTCATGCCTATTTATCCCCTTTGATATTTGTGCATTGTGACTTATTGTGCCTTTGGGGTAGACCCTTAGAAGAAGGATGGCTGATTCAGGAAGAAAATGCCCTGTAACTCTTAATTAAAAGACTGGCCTGGGCAGTGGTGGTGCACACCTTTAATCCCAGCACTTGGGATGTAGAGGCAGGAGAATCTCTGCAAGTTGGAGGCTAGCCTGCTTTACAGAGTGAGTTCCAGGACAGTCAGTTCTACACAGTGAAACCATGTCTCAAAAATGAGAGAGAGAGAGAGAGAGAGAGAGAGAGAGAGAGAATTTCAATTACAGACTCCATAATACAGCAGTGTGAAGTAAATGTGAGGGAGAGGAGATGGCTCTGCAGGTAAAGTGCTTGCCACAAAAGCATGAAGACCTGAGTTCAGGTCCTCAGAATTCAGAAAAGCTAGATGAGACAGTACATGTCTGCAATCCTAGCACTGCTACAATGAGACAAGAGATGGTAAGACAAAACTTGTAAGACAGCTAGTTTAGCATGAACAATAGAACACAAGAGACAGTCAAAAACATGTCCTTGCTAGCATGCTATAAGTGAAGAGGTCCCCCCACCCCCGCGGGAGTCTGACCAGTGCACGTGACAAAAGATTCCAGGAGGAAAGGTTTAATCTTGGTTCAGTCCAACACAGGGAAGACTAATGATCAATTCCATTATAACAGCAGGAGTGTGTGGCAGAGGAAAGGTATTCATCACATGCCTGACAGGAATCCCAGAACTCAGTAGGATAACATATTCCTATCCAAAGTGAACTACGTTCTCTAACCAGTATCCATCTCTTTAAGTTGCCACAGCTTTCCTAAATGGAGTCATTAGGCAGGAACAAGCATTCAAAACAAGAGCATGTGGGGAACAGTTCATTTTCAGACCTAATACCCTACTCAGTGGGTAACCAGAGGTGCCTTCTGCCAATTCAACAGGCTTGGTTTGGGAAAGTTTGGGGCAAATGTAATGGGAAACTATGATCTCTGTGTGGCCATGGACATACATCAATAACTGTAATTTTAAGTCATTAAAAAGAGAGCATAACTTATCATTTACAATACTATAGGACACCAAGAAAATTAGTAATATAGCCTATGTGTGGAAGTCAGAGGGCAATACTCGGGAGTTGGTTCTCTCCTTTCACCATGGCACCTCTTAAACCATGATGTCAGCCCAATAACTCTTACTTTGTGAGGAATGCAAATGACATGGCTTTACCATCTTTGATGAAAGTCATATGTAAATATTAATTCATGCCTGTCTGTATCAATCGACATAATAATAGCACTGGTGATAGGGATGCTAATATACAATAATATTTGTTGATAACTTCCATGTATCTGACACTAAGTGATAAGTTATACTTTCAAAAGTTTCTTACAACCTGTGAGACAGAGCTATTGCCTGACTTTAAGCATATGGGAACTGATGCACACAAAGGGAGTGATAAGGCTATACAGTTCCATAATAAGTACATGTGGGTTTCTCTGACAATAAATGTCCCTATATTCACAATTATAGCAAACAAAATTCCTGCAAACAGACATGTACATACTTTCCAGAAATGAGCAGAATTTTGCCAATTGTCTGCATTCCCTTTTAAGATGGTAGTCTGCAAAAGAACAAGCATTTTGCTTTC